CACCCCCCAGCAGTGCTGGATGCCTTTCACATTCTATAATTGTGGCATGAAGCCTTCCAAAGGAAAATATATTCAATTTACAACATAATTGATTGTGGACACTTAATTTTGAGTTCCGTATAGCTCAATCACCACCTCAAAATAATTTGATATTCTATGCAACCCCTCAAGAGGGTTCCTTCTCTTCACCCTCGGTGCATTTTGCTTTACTCTCAATAAAATCTTTTACTTCCAATTAGTTATGCTGTATTTGATTATGCCCCACACATCTTCAACCCATGAGAGATCAAGTCTTTTGCCTAGAGGGTCCATTAAAATTCAGTTCTGTTATCCAGCCTAGAATTCAATAGAATTTACAAATGAGTTTACTCCTTATACACAGTGGCAAAGTACAGAACCATGTGGCAGCAGGACAAATCAGCTGGCAAAAATCCGAACTCTGCAGTAAAAATTAATGGGCTGCCAACATAATAGAAATCAAAAAGGTACTTACTGTACCTTATTACACATATGTGTATGTTAGAAACAAACTGCTGACAAAAAAGTTCAAAGCAGAAGCTTCTGCAATGTGAGATCAAAGTCCAACGAATGCGTCTTGGCATACTGAAATCTTTCTAGTTTAATGAATCAGTTACTCCTTTACAATAAATAGTCTACGATCATCATTTGCTGATATCAGAAAACTAGTTTTAACCTCCTGCCTGGCAAGAACCTACTTGAAATATCTTGATGTCAATCTAAATTATCCCTTCCTTAGCTCCAATCAATGCTAGTCCACTTGTGACAACTTTATGCCTTCTTACATACATATTGTACTCTTGATTACCTGCATTTCATCAGATACCCTCACAATGGAAATGAATTGGCAAAGGGACTTTCTGCTCAAGTAGAGAGAACTGGGGCAGCACAGTGGCTCAGTGGTTAGCACTGCAGCCTCACAGCGCCAGGAACCCGGGTTCGATTCCAGCCTCGGGCGACTGTCTGTGTGGAGTTTGCACGTTCTCCCCGTGTCTGCGTGCGTTTCCTCCGGGTGCTCCGGTTTCCTCGCACAGTCCAAAGATATGCAGGCTAGGTGGATTGGCCATGCTAAATTGCCCGTAGTGTTCAGGGGTGTGTGGGTTATAGGCAGATGGATCTGGGTGGGATGCTCCAAGGGTCGGTGTGGACTTGTTAGGCTGAAGGGCCTGTTTCCACACTGTAGGGATTCTATGATTCTACTATTGGGAAAGTGATCAAGAATGATGTAATAAAGGTTCATAACTTAGTCACTAAACAATCATCTCTCCTAGATGGTTCATTCTCTTAGGACAGTCACTGGAGTCTCTCGCATTAAAAAGAAAAAGGTTAGGATGCCTGGCACCAATATTTAATCAGCCTTGGAAGCAAGCAGTAGATGGAATAATCTTAACCCAAAGGAACTTCAGTAGATCTCATATCAATATTGACTTCTGTAATACTGTCACCTTCCAGTTTCATCAACATTTTAAAAAATTCAGTCCCAACCTGAAAAATGTTTGGACCTCACCATGAAACCCAAATTTGACAAGTCAAAGAATTAGATCCATACATGACAAAGATTGCCCACAGTCACTATGACTACAGCAGTTGATTTGTTTATGACTTGTGGAACCAGTTACTTAAAGTCCAATAAAGACTTATATATTACTTATCCATTACATCTGATAATGTTCATTAATTGGGGAGGAGATCCCAAATGCATTGGTATGCTCTAACTGCAGGTTAACAAAGTTCCATACCTGGTTTCTGGTCTGTGCTTTGGGTAATCCAATGTCTTCAGATGAGGAGTAAAAATACTTATACACCTCACTGCTATGTGCGTTTTGGAAAGTGCTCTTAACTCCTGGCAAAGACAAGACCTATCTTGCCTTGGACAACAAGGTGCAGGGCTGGATGAACACAGCAGGCCAAGCAGCATCATAGGAGCAGAGAGGCTGACGTTTCGGGCCTAGACCCTTCATCAGAAAAGGGGGAGGGGAAGGGGGTTCTGAAATAAATAGGGAGAGAGTGGGAGGCGGATAGAAGAGGGATAGAGGAGAGGATAGGTGGAGAGGAAACAAACAGGTCGAAGAGGCGGGGATGGAGCCAGTAAAGGTGAGTGTAGGTAGGGAGTTAGGAAGGGGATAGGTCAGTCCAGGGAGGACGGACAGGTCAAGGGGGCGGGATGAGGTTGGTCGGTAGGAGATGGAGGTGCGGCTTGAGGTGGGAGGAGGGGATAGGTGGGAGGAAGAACAGGTTAGGGAGGCAGGGACGAGCTGGACTGGTTGATGCCCTTTGCAGTAAGATATTTCAACTGGGTACTAAAACTGGGGCTGCGAGGGCATTGCTATCATCAGAGGCTGAGTAAACTGGGACTATGCTCTCTGCGGTTTAGAAGAATGCAAAGCAATCTCAGCAAAATATAGAAGATTCTAAAGAGGCTCAACACTGGGGTTGTTTCTGCGGTTAAGGGAATGTAGAACGCAGTAGGCATTCTCTCAGGATAAAAGGGATGCTCATTTGGTACTCAGACGGGAGAAATGTCTTCATTCAAAGGATGGCACATCCTTGGAATTATCTACTAGAGGACTGAATGCTTTACTTGAGGCAGAAGTAGACAGATTTTAGATATCTCATGGATATAGGAGTAAGTGAGAAAGTGGAGTTGCTGCTACAAATCAGTTACAATCATATTGAATGGTGTAGCAGAGGCTTGATGGGCTGTATGGTGTACTCCTCATGCCATTTCTTGTTATGCTTAAGTTCCTCCTCAAAGTTTGCCTGCATTTGTACGTGACAGAGAGAACACTGAAAAATGATCTGCATTGTCACACTTGTTTAATGGCTGTTACCCAAGCCGATTCAAAATGTACAATCTCTAAACAACTCCAGATCTTCTGTTCTCATCAAATTACCGAAATCTTTATGATTTTAATATACATCTGCCACCACAATTAAGCTAAATGCTGAATATTTCAGTTGCTCTGGAATGTTCAAAGTAATTTACCTTACAGATGAGCCATGGAGGAAATTTTATGACTTGCTGCAGGATGCAACCATCACTTCCCCGCACAAAAATAAACTTTGGATCTCCAAGGAAGTTGGTCTTTTGTATCTCCATCTAGAGTTAAAATCTAAGCATACATAGCAACATTGAATATAGGAGCAGCAGTCGGCCATTCAAGCCTACTCTGCTTGTCAATATGATCATGGCTGATCATCCAGCTCAGTATCCTGTTCCACCTTTCTACCTATGTACTTTGATCCTTTTAGTCCTACGAACTCTCTCTACATCTTCCTTGGAACATTTTGCAACATTTTGGCATCAACATTTCTTGCAGCAGAAAATTCCACCAACTTACCATTCTCTGGGTGAAGAAATTACTCATCTCTGTACTAAAAGGCAGATACCATATCCTAAGACTGGGACCCCAGTTAATGACTCTCTTATCATCGATATCATACAGGGTAGATGCAGGAATGATGTTCCCGTTGGAATTTTATATGATGAGATCCCCCGTCATTCTTCTAAACCCTAGTGAATATTGCCCTTAGCAATCCAGTCTGTACGCCCGTCATGCCATCCCAGGATTCAGCCGGGTACAGAAGAACACAAGCCAGTTTTCTTATGCTGAAAAATGGAAAAGCACATCTACAACTTCTTTAAAGCATTCACGTCACACATTAAAAAGCACAGACCAGGTTGATTTTAAAAATGGTCTAGAAGTTAAACTAAACAACTGGTAAGCATGAGATAACAAGGTGCAGAGCTGCATGAACACAGCAGGCCAAGCAGCATCAGAGGAGCAGGAAAGCTGACATTTCGGGCCTAGACCCTTCTTCAGAAATGGGGGAGGGGGTTCTGAAATAAATAGGGAGTGAGGGGGAGGCGGATAGAAGATGGATAAAGGAGAAGATAGGTGGAGAGGAGACAGACAGGTCAAAGAGGCGGGAATGGAGCCAGTAAAAGGTGAGTGTAGGTGGGGAGTTAGGGAGGGGATAGGTCAGTCCAGGGAGGACGGACAGGTCAAGGGGGTGGGATGAGGCGAGTTGGTAGGAGATGGGGGTGGGGCTTGAGGTGAGAGGAGGGGATAGGTGGGAGGCAGGACAGGTTAGGGAGGCAGGGACAAGCTGGGCTGGTTTTGGGATGCGGCAGGGGGAGGGGAGATTTTGAAGCTTGTGAAGTCCACATTGATACCATTGGGCTGCAGGGTTCCCAAGCGAAATATGAGTTGCTGTTCCTGCAATCTTTGGGTGGCATCGTTGTGGCACTGCAGGAGGGCTAGGGTGGACATGTCGTCTGAGGAATGGGAGGGGGATTACAGGGATGGGTTGGGATGCTCTCCGGAGAGTCAATGTGATTCGACGGGCTGAATGGCCTGTCCATACACTGTAGGGATTTTAAGTAAACTGCTCCAATACAAAATGAAGTAAATGATAGAAAAGTAGGTGGTTTTGTGTGGAGAATCCCCCCAAATAATTCAAACAATTTGGTTTATTTCTTCTCATTTTAACAAAATGTCTTGCCTATGATTAATCAAACTGCTTATGCTAACAACAGACGGAGTGCTTCTACTACTACTGTCTGGCTACCTCACATTCCAATTTGCGTTAAAGTACAAATATGTTTAGCAATCGTCAGATTAGTCAAAAGAGCTTCATTAACAAGTTGATGTTGTCCCACCCTGCCAACAGCCTCAACACCAACTGGCCTCTATTTTGCTGAGTTCGAATAAATCCACACCTACATTACGTGAGTGCATATTTCAATCTGTGGGAATATGCATATTTGTTTACCTCTGCTAAATCAAAATTATTTGTGTTTTTTAAAAAAAAAATAAACACCTCAGAATTCAGAATACACACAGACATTAATAAAACGCGAATTCAAGAGGCGGATTTAAGGTAACGTTTAGGTCACACTTTCAAGACAAAATCCATGTGATACTTAAAACGTTCGCCCCGATACAGACGTGATTTTCTCACCCTATCTGAATACTCACGAATTGGTGTGTAGGTATTCGAAGGTCAGTTGAGCTCGGTTAAGGCAATTGTAATTGGTACCAGCCATGGCGCCTTCCCTTCTCTGCTAACGCAGCGCTCCGGGCTTCTGAGGGCCGCCCCCTCGGCTCACGCTGCAAGACTCGGGCCTTTTTCGTTCTCCTCTCTCTCCCCGTGTACACGATTTCCTAGCCACATTTATCGTTCACTTATTGACGAACGGTTTTTTTTTCCTCTCCCCTTCTTCCTCCCACTCCTCCTTTTCCTTTTAGAAACACAGGCGCTCCTCGCCAAACCGTCACCCTTCAAACCTCGTTCTCGGGCCCGGTTTCGGTGCTTCAGTTAACCGCCTGCCTTACGAGGCCTGGCCTGGTCCGGTCCGGCCCAGCTCTGTCTTTTCTCTCCAGGACCCGGTTACCTCACCGCTTTCCCTCCTCCACCTTCAAACAACCGCATCCACCGCCAGCGAGACACTCTTTGAAAAAAGTAACTGCAGCCTCCAGCTCGATTGCGCAGGCGCAGGAGGACTACCCCAGACTCCACCCGCACCACGCCTGCGCCACAGCATCTCTCATATCAGCACCAGCTCCCCAAACATTGCCATTCTCTCACCTCTGTCCGCTAAGTCTACATCTCCTTCCCTTTTAAGAAAACAATTTGGAACGCTTCAGTTGAATCTGCCTCCAAAATCGTCTTAGTCAGTGTAGTCCAAATGTTAGCCACGAACTGCCTGCAAAAAAGTTTTTCCTCACAATCACTTCTGTTTCTTTTTATCAATTATTTGAAATTCGTGCCCTCTCATTCTCAATTCTTTCACAAATGGAAACAATTTCTCACCTCTTTCTTCTGTCCAGACTCTCATGATTGATTTACTCAACCAAATAGACGCTCAGGCTTTTTCCCCCAAAGGAACACGGTCCTTAACTTCTACAATGTCTTTGTAACTAAAAAGTTACCTTGTCCCTGAAATCATTTTCAGTGAATCTTTTCAGCACTCTCTTCTTAAAGCACCATGTCCAAAATTGGACGCTTTATTCCAGCTGAGACGAAACTAATGTAACCCCCTTACTTTTGTACTCTATTTTCCCTTTTAACAAAGTCTAGAATATTTTACACAATTCATCACTCTCTCATCCTGCCCTGTGCACTTTCAGTTACTGATGTACATATACACTAGGTCCCCTTGCTCCTGCACTCCTTTCAGATTTTGCCCTTTTATTTTGTCTCTTCATTTGCAAACCCTTTTGCTACGTTTTGAGGAAGAGAGGGGGAGGACAAGATAATTTTTAAAAGGCCCAAAAAAGCCAATGTATTTTAAAATCAATGCAAGCAGTGCTGAATCATTGGTCCTGACTTTGTTGTTAGGATTCTGACCTCTCTGAATCAATAGATATAATGGGTTAATGGCCCTTACTTTAAGATATCCCCATTTTAAGCAGAGACTGATGCTTAAGTGCACAAGTATTGCATTAGTATAATGCACACTGTTTGGATGAAGCACTAAACTGAAGCCCGCTATTCTAATAACCCATTTAAGTCAAAGAGGGAGACTGGGTGCAAGAATTGGGGAGAGGGACAAGCTTGAGCAAACAGGAAGAGACAGAGCAAGGGGATAAAATAAGTGAGAAGGATTAAATTGGGGAGAAGAGTGTTGTCATTGGGCAAAGTCAGGTCATTGAGATGTACAGCTTGGAATCAAACCCTTCAGTCCAACTGGTCCATGCTGACCAGATATTCTACATTAATCTAGTCCTATTTGCCAGCATTTGGCCCATATCCTTCTAAATCCTTCTTATTCATATACCAAAAATGTTGCTATTTAAATGTTGTAATTGTACCAGCTTCCATCACCAATGCTGCCAGCTCATTCCATACATGCACCACCCTCTGCATGAAAAAGTTGCCCATTGGGTCCCTTTTAAGTCTTTCCTCTCTCACATTAAACCTATGCCCTCTAGTTTGGACTCCCCTACCCTGGGGAAAAGACCTCGACTATTCACCCTATCCAAGCCCCTCATGATTTTATAAACTTCTATACAAGGTCACCCCTCATCCTCTGACACACTAGGTAAACAGTCCCTGCCTATTCAGCCTCTCTGATAGCTCAAACCCTCCAACCCTGGAAAGTCCTTGCAAATGTTTTCTGAACCCTTTCAAGTTTCACAACATCTTTCCTACAGCAGGGAGACCAGAATTGAACACAATATTACCAAAATGGCCTAACCAATGTCCTGTACAGACACAACATGACCTCTCAACCCCTATACTCCATGCATTGACTAATAAAGGCAAGCGTACCAAACAGCTTTTTACTATCCTGTGACTTCATTTTCAAGAAACTATGTACCTGCATTCCTCGTTCTCTTTGTTCAGTAACACTCCTGAATCCTTGCCATTAAGTGTATAAGTCCTGTCCTGATTTCCCTTTCCAAAATGCAGCACCTCACATTTATCTAAATTAAACTCCATCTGTTCATCTGATCAAGGTCCCATTGTACTCTGAGGTAACCTTCTTCACTGTCCACTACACCATCAATTTTAGCATCATCTCCAAACTTACGAACAATGCCTCCCATATTCACATCCAAATCGTTTATATAAATGATGAAAAGCACCGAACCTTGCAGGACATCACTGGTCATGGGCCTCGAGTCCGAAAAGCAGCCCTCCACCACCACCTTCTGTCTCCTACCTTCGAGCCAATTTTATATCCAATAATGGTTAGTTCTCCCAGTAATGGACATGGTCTAACCTTGCCAGCCAGTCTACCACGTGGAACCTTGTCAAATGCCTCACTAAAGTCTACATATACACACAACATCCACCACTCTGCCTTCATCAATCTTCTTTGGCTTCTTTGGCGGAGGAATCAAAAATGAGAAGTAGATTGGAGGCGGAGGAAGGCACAACATAGATGAGAAGAGATAAGTCAGTGGCAGAGAGAAAACATAATGGTAGGATTCAGGAGATGAAAAAGTTCAACTGCTCTCTCCCCAGTATTCCTATTTCCTCAGATCATGTTCCCCATTTAGAACTCCTAAATTACTGCTCCTAGCCTCTCCCCTGATATATCAACTTACTGTGTTCCCACATACTTTTCCTGCACACCATCACACCCTATTAGAGATTGCGATCTTATCATCTTCAATTCTCTTTTTTGCTACCATCACCCTTAATGTCAATACCATATCAGTCACTCAATCCTGCCCAACCACCCAAATTAACCATTCCCTCTTTTTTCCATAATCTTTGCTGGCTTCCATTTTAAACATAAAAGTCTTTTTTCTACTTTTTCACTCACTTTCCATACCAAGCGCTGATATGCCCCTTACTCGCCACAAGTATATTAATTAGAAAAAACAGAAAATGCTGGAAACATTCAGGTCAGGCAACATTATTGGAAAAAGATGTTGTTCAACGAACTTTAATCATTGACTTAGGTATTACAAGGATTTTCTGTATGACCTAATTAGTTCCAGCATTTAGTTTATTTTTCAGATTGCCAGAATCCATGTTGAGTTTTGCTTTTACATTCAGACAAATATTGAATTTGTCCACTATGCCACTTGATGAACAAAATCCAAATTGAGACTCCAGAAGGAGTTTTTAAATCACTAGGAGGAGTTTTGCAATGACTATTCCTGCGCTGGACAACAGGGATATCTCTGTAGTAAACAGTCAGATTGTAATGAGGTCAGCCAGGTGGGTGTACTATTTGTATACAGTCATTATACATGGCTTTTGACGATGTCAACTGAGTAGGACAGTTGAGCTTCCTCCTCAAATTTTGTTGTGCACAGAAATTTTCTTTCCTTTGCTTGCTGCACAACAGCTTGCAATCCATGATTGTCATCAATAGATCCACCACAGACCTAATATCTGTGCAAACTCGGGTCAAGCAAAGTTGTGTCATTACATGAATTTTGGTCTTGGTATCTTCGGTTACACGACATTCCACCCTATATCCATGAGACTTTCTGCTGGAGTGGAAATTCTTAATAGGACAAATGGGAAACTGTTCAACCTGTGTCGTCTCCAGTCCAGAACCAAGACTACCCAACCTTTCATTTAGCTGCAGTGTAGTTTAGCTGACGTTTGCTCATGTGCATATTCAAAGGCGAAGCTTTAAATTATTGTTGATGCAAATTGCAGGGGGAATGTAAGATGTTGAGCCTTTAGCAAACATTGAAGTCAAAGGTCCTATTCCCACTGTGCAACACTGCCCGATTGTTAAGATCCAACGGTGAGCCACTGGACAGCGTGGATCAACTCCCTACCTTCAAAACCTTTTACCAGCACAGGCCAACATCAATCATGAAATTCAACATCACATCCAGTGTGCAAACACAGCCTTAGTCATCTGAGAAAAGAAGTGTGTTTGATGGCAAATACTTCAACATACGAACAAACCCAAATCCAAACACATGGTTGACAGCAGTGTTATCACCTCTCCTATATGCATCAGAAACACAGACAATGTACAGCAGACTCTTCAAATCCCTTGAGAAATATCATCAGCAGTGCCTGTGCAAAATGCTGCAAATCCACTGGAAGGATATATGCCCCAATTTCCGTGTCCTCCCTCACACCAAAATCCCTGTATTAAGATACTGATTATAGTCAGTTAACTGCATTGAGACCAGAAATGTGCTTCATACAAGATTTCTAAATCAGCTCTCTGCTCCGAGCTTCATTACAGAAGTGGTTTCCAGGAGAACAGAGGTAATGCTTCAGACATCCTCAAAGCCTCATGAAAAAAAATGCAATCATGAGAATTTCTCATCCAAAACTGGGCAATTTAGAAAAGCTGTACCTGAAGAGGAGTCAACCATTTTATCCATCTCTGACAGGCCCAGAGCTGGGTCAAGTGCAAACAGCAGAAGGAGCAAGGAAGAACCACAGCATCTCACCCATTTGCTTCAACGAATATCACCTTCCCACTTATGGCAGAATCTGTAGATCCAGTATAGGTCTATTTAGTCAGCTCAGGACCCAAAAGACAGAAATGGAAGAAGTCATTCTTAATCCTGACAGACTGCCTAAGTAACAGTAATCCTACAACTACATTAACAGGTAAACTGCAGTTTAAGAACTAGGCTATAGAATGAACAATCCTCTGCAGCTGGAACTATGATGGCTCTCCGTTCAGGTTTCTTGGGGATAGAACAGAGTAAATAATTGTTGGATTGCATCATATGTAAAATATTACTTTTTGTACAAACAGCAGGGACCTGTGGGCATGAATATCAGTACTAATTTGTTTAAAGTGACAAGTAACCAGTAACACAAATTATAGTAGGGTAAAATAAACTATTTGGAAAAAAATGGACAGCAGTAGGAAATAAAGTACGTTTAAGGCAAAGATGAGCATTTGATAAGAATCAATCACCATATTGCAGGATCATTAGTATTTTAAAATCTTCAATGTTTCAACAAAAAGATTTCTCCACAGAGTTGCAGAATTTGAGGCAAAGAATCTTTTAACAGATTTTTGTTTTAAACAGAGCTGCAGAAGAGAACTGACTTGAGTACAATTTATGTTAAGACAACATAACCCCAAGGACCAAATTCAGCAATCTGATGGTTAACTGATAACCTACCTTTCTTGCAATGTTGTCTCAGAAAACAAAAACAAAATTGCTGGAAAAGCTCAGCAGGTCTGGCAGCATCTGTGAAGGAAAAAACAGTTAACGTTTCGGGTCTGGTGACCCTTCCTCAGAAGGTCTCAGAAAATATCACTGGAGAAAATTCTAATGTAAACAACTGTCATGCCATCGGAGACAACTGAAATTTCCAGAGTCATTTTTCCAACCGTTTCTTACAGCAAAGATGACTGGCCCGTCATCAGGTAATAGATGTGCCTTGATTATGATTGTTGACAAGTGGAATTCTTTGGGGAGGATCCAGTCAGAATGACTGTTGTAGAGTTTGCAAAAGACTTAGCAGTAATTGTACATGGAATACAGTGACAAATATTGTAACAGAAGCAGTTCTGTAATCTAAAAAGGCATACACTCCAAACCAAGGATAATTATGAAAATTCATCATTGCTATAATGAAATTATTAGATAATTCTACACAACACAAATTTTAAGAGACCCTTCTTGATCTTTGTTCTTAATGTAATTAATTCATATGAAGAGAGATTGTGTTGACAGTGTTCAGCAGGGCAGCGTTTCAAAGGAAAACATTAAACCTGGCACTTTCTGAAGCATTGATAGCTATTGTTTTATGTTCTATTTCATCGATGGCGTTTTACAGGAACTGCTATTTTTCTGGTGACTAATTAATGTTTCATTTTTATTACATCACCTTCTTAAATATTAATTTTATGCAACTGTTTTACAATTACAGTTTTCCTTTAAGCATCAGCCCAGAAAGTACATAGACTAATTTCAAATGATCAGTCATACAACATTGCGAAATCCATTTACAGCCAAGATTAGGAAGAACTCACTGCAATAATTCATAAAGGAGTTGATGGACAAATTATTTTTATCAGAACTTTGTATCAAGCAAGTGTTACAACCATCAGACCTCAACGTACAGTGTCTTAGATCTCAATTGGTATCTGTCTGCTGAAGACAGTTTTAAATCAAGTCAACAAGTTTTAAAGATATGCAGTTCATTTGTTTGGCATTAATTATTTTAGTATACAAATGACTTCATTCAATCAATTCTTTAATTAGGGCACCAACATATTATCACATTCACGAGAAAACTATGTTTTTGTAATTAGGAGACTACAAATATCAACTACTGACAATAGATCATAGCACATAAGTTGACCTAATTTATAAGATGACACGTTTTGAAAACAAACTGTATATTTACGCCTATACTTCATACATAAATTGACTCCCTCACTTATCAGCTAATAAATTTATGTTTAGGAGTGGAACTTGCAGCTAATAAATGCAGAGCCATTTTTGAATTTGGAGTGGATCTCAATTTTCTGGCCAAGACAGACATGTTCAGGGGTATACCCACCTTAAATCCACATGTGGGATCAAACAAGCATTACAGGCCCTGTTGCCAAGAAAATTTACAAGGGTTTAAGACTCAGCCACACAGCAGACTGTACATGAGAGCAACAAATAAATATTTGCACATTTCAAAATTGTGACCATTTACAGGCACCAGTGGTTCACATTTTAAAAAAAAAAATTGCAAATGCTGGAAATCAGAAACTTCCAGAAAAACTCAGCAGGACTGCAGCATTTGCGGAGAGAAATCAGAGTTAATGTTTCAGGTCCAGTGACCCTTCTTCAAACTGATGATAGCTAGGAAAATGTTTTTTTTTAATGAGAAGGTAGGGTGGGGAGAGATGGTAAGGAGTAAATGTTAGGTGGAGATAGAACCCAAAGAGATAGAAGAATATTTGGACAGAAAGGAGTGGATAATAGTCAGCCCAGCAGAATGAATAACTACTAATGGGTACTATTAGTGGCTAACAATGGGCTGTGTGTAATAGCAGACCATGTGATAACAAGGCCTGGTGTGTGGGGTTTGGGATAAGGACATGGGAGAAGGTCCCTCAAATCCTAAAATTATCAAACTTGATATTGAATCCAGAAAGCTGTAGAGATCTCAAGCAGAAAATGAGATGTTGTTCTTCCAGCTTGCACTGAGCTTCGCTGGAGCACCGTAGCAAGCCTGAGACAGAGATGATGGCCACGGAACGAGATGATGTGTTGAAATTGACAGCAGCTGGAAGCTCAGGGTTTTTTTTGGGAGACAGAATGTAGGTGTTCTGCGAAGTGCACCCAGTCTATGCTTCGTTTCGCCAATGTATACATGACCACATTACGAGCAGTGAATGCAGTAGACTAGATTGCAGAGCAGGTAAAGCGCTGCTTCACGTGTAATGTATGTTTGGGCTCTGGATAAGATCTTCAGAACTGAAAAAGGGTCACTGGATCTGAAAACATTAACTCTACTTTTTCTCCACAGATGCTGCCAGACCTAATGGGTCCTTCCAGCGATTTCTATTATTGTTTCTGATTTCCAGAATCCACAGTTGTTTGGTTTTTTTGAGATAGATTCTTAATCAGTGGGGAAAATCAAGGGTTACAGGGAAAATGCAGGAAAGTAGACATGAGGAATGTTGAATCAGCCATGAACAATTGAATGTGGAGCAGGATTGAAGGACCAAATAGCCTTCTCTTATTCCTATTTCTTTGGTGTTATAATGGGAAGAGAGAAATGGCACAGAAGCTAAATGATTATTTTGTATCTGTTTTCACTGAGGAAAATCTAATAAATCTCCATGAAGGAGAGGTCCAAGTGGCTAGGGAGAATGAGGAGTTGAAAGAAATTGATCGGCCTGAAAGTTGATGGTCTTCTTTCCAGAATATTGCAGTTAGTGACTACTGAGATAGATGATACCTTAGTGACTATATTCCACAATTCTATAGATTTGGAATGATGCTTGTGGATTGGAAGGTAGCAAATGTCACTCCACTATAAGGGAGCAAGAAAGGGAAAAAAAGGGAACTACAGACCTGTTAGTCTTACACCAGTAATAAGGAAAATGTTAGAATTATTAAAAAAGGATGGGATATATTGACACTTGTTTAATAATGATCTGATTGGCAAAGTCAGCATCAATTTGCGAATGAGAAATCATGTTTAATGAACTTGGTGTAGTTTATTTTTAAAGATGTTACTAACAAAATTGATAAAGGAGAGCTAATGGATGGATGCGCACTTAGATATTCAGAAAGATTGATAAATTCCCCCAGAGGAGGCCAGTTTGGAAAATTAAAGCACATGGGTTAGGAGACAGTGTACTAGCATGGCGTAAGGATTGGCTAACATGGAAAATGGAGAGTAAGAATAAATGGGTAATTCTCGTATTAGCAGGCTGCAACTGGTCGGATATCACAAGGATCAGAATTTGAGACCCAGCTGTTCACAATATACGTGAATGACTTATTTGCAGATGATACAAAGCTAAATTGGAATGTGTGCTGAGAGGATGGTGTAAAGCGACTTCACGAAACTTTGGACAGGCTTAGTGAATGGGCAACAACATGGCAGATGGAATATAAAATGTGGAAAAATGTAAGATTATCCACTTTGCTAAGAGAAACAGACATAGAGCATTTCTTAAATGCTCAGAGGCTGATAAGAATAGATGTATAAAAGGAACTACGTATCACTAAGTCACTGAAAGCTAAAATGTAGGTGCATCAGGTTATTAGAAAGTCTAATGGAATGTTAGCTTTTATTGCAAGAGGATTTGACTACAGGAATAAAGAAAAATCTTAAATTAATTGACAGGAGCTTGATTAGACTACACCTGGTGTACTGTGTGCACTTTTGGTCTCCTTATCTTAAGATACAACTACCGTAGAGGAAGTGCAACAAAGGTTCATCAGACTCGTTTCTGGGATGGCTGGACAGTCCTAAGGTAGATTTTGCAAACTGAACTTGTGTTTTCTGGAGATTCGAAGAATAAGAGATGATCCCATTGAAACTACAAAATACTTAAAGGGATAGACAGGCAAGATGTTTCCCCTGGTTCAGGAGTCTAGAACTAGGGGACACAACTTAGGATGAGAAGAATTTTACTCAGAGTTGTGAACCTTTGGAATTCACTACCACAGTGGGCTCTGGAGATTTAGTCTTTGAGAACGATTATGGTACAGACTGATAAATTTCTGAGTACCAGTGGTGTACAGAGTTATAAGGATAGGGTGAGTAAAAAGCATTGAAATTTTGATCAATCATGATCGCATTAAATGAGGGGGCAGACTCAATGGGCTGAATGGGCTACTCCTGTTCCAGTGTTCTTCTTAGTAATGTACATAAATATACCAATTTGGAACAGGAGTAGGCCATTTCATCTCTCAAGGCTGCACCACCATTTAACAAGACCATGGTTGATCTGATTGCAATCTCAACTCTATATTCCCATCTACTTCTGATAACTTTTCACCACCTTGTTTACCAAGAATCTATTTACCTCTACCTTAAAAATATTGAAAGATTTGACTTCCACTGCTTTTACAGAATGAGAGTCTTGAAAATGTACAACATGCTTGAAAAAAAATTCCTGTGTCTTAAATGAGTGACCCTTTCCTTTTAAATGGTAAACCCTAGTTCTAGATCTTACCTCAAGAGGAAACAGCTTAGGGTGTCCAACTTTTCCTTCTGTAACAACTTGCCAATTCCAGGTATTAGTCTTGTAAACCTTCTCTGAACCAATTCCAATGCATTTCATCCCTCCTTAGTTAAGGAAACTAATCATGTACACAGTACTCCAGATATGGTCTAACCAGTATGCCTTGCGTAACTGAAGCATAACTTCTGTCTTTAATTCCCCTCGCAATAAACATTAATATTATATAAGCTTATTTAATTACCTGCTGTGTACCTGCTTACTTCTTCCAACACAGGTCCCTCCAAGACTAATAACAGCACCTTGACTTCTATTCTGGCAAGTTAAACCAATTCTGCTCAAACTGTGGATCAAACCTTCAGACTGTAATTTAATATTTTGGTCACTGCATTCAACATTATAAATTAGTAAAAGGTTAGGTACATTCCTTCACTAAAATGAAAAGTGAACACAAACTACTTAAACTAATCTCCAGATATCGTGCAAAGTGCAGTACTAACAAAAATTTGAAGCTTTCTTGGTCAGAAGATGTCTACGTTTCCAATAAAACCACAGAAAGAGAGAAGAGCGAGTCTCATTTTAAAGACCGCATCAATTATTGTTCACGGAAACTAAGTTAAGAACCACTCTAATCCTCATATGTAAATATTACTAGTTCACTGTTTTAAAAAAAAACATACAGTTCCACTAGGCTGCTAGAATATATTGTCTTAAGGTATGCATAACGAGTTAAAATTTAAGACTGAACATGAGGCAGCATTAGCTGCTTGCCAAGAGATCTTAAAGCCCATTATGTGATATAAAAAAATCCAGTCCCAAATTTCCTGAAATCAGCCCTTTCCAGTTTCAACAGTGAATTGAAATAAACTCTAGTATAGTCATAAATATACCCAGGTACCAGAAGTAGATATTTTTAGTCCTTTATAACAAATTTTTAAAAATATAACATGAATCAATTCTGCTTGTGACAACCTTTGTTCTCTCTCTAACTGTTTTGTCAAACATTTGTGCTCTCTTTTTTTCACTGCCAATTTGGGAGGTTAAAAATATTTACTGGCTGCAAGAATAATTTCAGTAGACAATCAGCACTTTATTCTAAAGATAAAAAATATTTTGATTAAATGTAAGTGCTTTTGATAAAGCTTTCATTGGTGTTCCTATAGCCTATTCATCAATAGCACTCTCAAGGATTAAAAGCCTTTATTTCTAAATTTTTGCTGTCCTCAATTATCAGAGGTTCTTCCATTATAGGTCTTGGCTATCACAAGCCTTTCAGAAACAAATCAACTTCAATATTAGCTTCCAATCTCCCTTCCTTAATAAGATTTACATCAGTTGAACATTAACCTTTAGAACAACAAGTACACAAACAATACCCTAATATCAAATCTAGTTTCAATGCTATACTATTACATCAGAGTCTGAGCATTTATGCCAAGAATGTTAACCATGGCTTGTAGCATTTAGGGGCAATAAAACATTAAAGTAGGAGGGAAAATGTAAAAAAGGAAAATATAAAAATGTTAATTTGGTGAAAGAAAAGAACTGACAAAGTGCAAATTCTATAATCAGATCTCAGTAATTATCTGAAATTTCTTTTATCAGTTCACACAAATACAAACATAAAAATATAGAACCACCACCACGAATTTGTTACAAGAAGAAACGGTTGTACAATGTCCAAACAGTGGCTTAATGTGTCTAACTTCAAATAACCAGTGTGTTTCAGAAATGATTGGGCACCTTGTAAATTTGAAGACATCAGAGCAAAACAAACAAAAGCATTTGTTTTTTAAAAGATTCTTACTGTATCAATAAATTTGGTACGTACAAGCCATTGTTGTTTAATTGCTGGGTCTTAGCACATTTTAGAAATCGCCTCATCAATATTATTAAAACTTCATTTGAGTACATTTACCCTATCATTAGGACATGCACGCATTGTTTTTAAACTCCGTAACAGTTTCCTATCCAAGACCATGACAATTCTGAAAGGACACTAGGAAATTCACAAGAGATGCAACATGGAGAAAATGAAGGTACAAATCTCCACATACATGGCAAGCACAGATTGCAGATAATAACCCCATGTGAAACTCACAACAGTATTTGCAAAAAATACCATCAGGACATTTAACAGTTGTGTTCCTTCATGACAATAGCTTAACAACGTTCAAAGCACACAGGGCATATTAACAAATTAACAATCACCACAATGAAGGTAAATATTTAATGAAATATAAAACATAAAGTAGCAAAATCACAGTTTACAAAACATTTTATAAATAAGCTATTATAACCTAGTTTAATCAAAATCTTTAAATTGTAAGACACTTTTGAAGTGTGGGGTAGCAGGGGGAGGGGGGGTGGGGCGGTGGGAGGTGGGTGGTGGGTGCAGTTTGGTAGATGTATACAATTCAAATGTTTCAGGTATTATTACCACCGCCACAATCACAACCAATGAAATTGTATTAAAGGCAAATCCAAGGGTTTCAAAAAACTATTTTTAAGGAGAACAGCACAAATTTACTACAGTACTTCGTTTTGGAAAATTTGCAACAGTATTAAGTTAGATATATTCCCATCGTCCAAAGTAATCCATATATTTCTACTCTCAACAAATGAGAATTTGGACTACATCACATTTCTAGAAGGTGAGCCTAGAACAAAAACAAAGAAACACAGTAAATACTCATGAACATCTTGCATATTTTCTTCTTCTCCCAAATATAGCAACTCATGGAAATGTAGTTCTAATGGTTTAGTCATCCTCCGATCTTGGACATTCTTCACTTTAAAACCTGCACACATTCAGTGTCAAAAACAGATAAAGGCAATTCTAACCTCTTCCATCTGCATATTCAGCAGGGATCAAGGATTGTAATTAGGAGTAAAAGATGCAGAGAACAAATACAACACCCTTATCCACTTCAGTGAACTCAGTAAATGCGGCATAGACTATGAAATGAAGCTGCAACCTTGTATTGTATGGGTCTTAGCAATGTGCTGAAACCACAGGGACATTAAGATTTTCTTTTGTAGCACCATGTAGATGTTTCTTGTATCAATTCCTTCAAATGTGTCCATCCACAAACAGCACTATAGCTGTATGTTTCTTGCACTTTCCTTTGTTATTACTTGCTATCTGTACAGATGAACAAATCTATATGCAGGTATTTCTAAGTTGGAAATGATAAACAATCACATGGAAATACAATATCAGTAAAATCTTTAACATGTACAAAACTGTTTAAATTCTAAACAACAAAATAATACAATTTGTATACTGCAAAATTCCTGTTTCAAGAAGCCAATGATGCATCATAACTAAACATACGTTTGTAAAATACTTTGGTAACATCAATTATTTGGAACAACTTTTACCAAACAAATTAAAAGCTATTCTCATTGGAGAGTCACATTCGAGTTTGGACCTTAACTTACTGCATCAGGAATATCCACACTTTTAAAAGGAAGACAATGGCTTAGTGAGTCAAAACTGTATTAAATTGTTTTATGATCAGAGAGAATCATATTTCCAACATAATGACCCCAAAAAGTACGAGATTGGTGAGATGCATGAAAAGGGTTTAAAAAAAATCAGCCCCAAGGAATGTCTTTTCTAATTAAAATTTGTATATTTATTGGTGAATCATTCTTAATCACTCTAAAGATCACAGATTTGCAAAAAAGAAAATTCAGGATATCCAAAAACCAAAACTGACTGAAAATTGACAAAATACCCTGGTTCTGTTCCATTTGAAGTGCTGGTTCTATGATCCTATTGTTGCTCACATTTTTCCAAATTAACCCATTTTAACATGGAAACTTTGTAGTCTCCATGCTCAGCTTCATTAACACACTGCTATTTCTCAGGTGTTCACTGAAGTCCAAGTACATTTTCCCAACAAACCACTCGCAAATGCTACTGCAATCCTCATTCTGGACCAAAAAAAAGTCCTAATTTCTTTCCAACTATATCCACAGCATAGATGATGACCATCTCGCATGAAGTCGTAAACTAATAATATCTATTTTATTGGCAGAGTCAAGTTTTCTCAAATGAGCCTAATTACCTTGTGTAAGTTCATTGTCTTGTGCCTCTTTTTCTTTCTTCGGCCACATGCTACACGTAAACAGAAGACAACAAGAGCAAGCAGAAGCAAAATGTAACTGGACTTCAGTAAGTGCTGACTGCAAAGAATACGGTCCTCCTACAGAGAGAAAAGAAAAATCACAAAATATAAATGGCAATGTGAATTAATCTGTCTCCGCTCCTTGATGGATAAAGAAACCAGTCAGTTTAGAAGTAACTCAGACAGTAGAAGGTTGCAGCCTCAACTAAAATCATTGCAGTGATACAATTTTTTTTAAATGTCCCTGGATTTGAAAGGGGAAAGACAAATTTCTGTTGTAATTCATGAGAGTGGTCAACTGGTTAAGATACCAGCTGGTGATTGGGCAAGAATCTCAACATGAAGAATCACCATTCAGCAGGAAAGACAGGGAAAGAATGGCAAAAAATAGTTTATTAATGAAAGTGAGATAACAAGGTGTAGAGCTGGATGAACACAGCAGGCCAGGCACGCTGACGTTTCGGGTCTGGACCCTCCTCTGATGCTGCCTGGCCTGCTGTGTTCATCCAGCTCTACACCTTGTTGTCTCAGAATCTCCAGCATCGGCAGTTCCTACTATCTCTTAAATAATGAAAGTATCACTTTCTAAAGCCCTCAACCTGAAATAATTCAAATATATCTGAAACATATTTAATATGATCTACCAAACTTAATGTTTAAATGCTATTATGTTCAAAACTGGAATTGTAGCCACCAGTAAACACTGACGCGACAATCAACGATGATTCTAATGAAATTCCACCACACTTTGCTGCCAGTATACTAGACAGATGATAATTAGACTGGGACTCAGTCTAACCCCAAATCTGCCAGGTGGTCGCAAGGAAATATCCTTCATCCATCCCTTACTAAGGCACTGGAGGAAAGCATTGCAAAGCTCAAAAACACTAGCCATTTCTTCATCCTGATTTTCTGATTTCTTCATTTGGGCACTGCAGATGTGCTATACATAACTGAAGGATTGCAGATTACAGGACCAACTTGTGAAATTAAGTTGTGGCAGAGGTCAAGGTCAGAATTACTTGACATATTCACCGGCCATATTGTCCCACAGATGTCTGGGCCCTCTACATCTATATGGGATAGGTAGAAAAAAGCACCCAACTTCCTCATTGACACCCTAAAAACCTACAGTGATTGTACCAGTTACTCTCAGCAAATAATCTGCAAGACATTTTCACTAAACATCTACACATGGAGCTTGCATAAGTTAATACAATTCAATACATTGAGACGTTATTTAAAGGATCACATATAATAAATACATTCCTTTAAAAAAAAAACTTTCCAAACTTACACCTGTAATTTTTTTTCTGTCTTTAGTTTCTTGAGTCCTGCACCATCTTCTGACATGGTTCATGGACCTCTGTTCATAAGAAGATCTGCAGTAGACTTAAATTTCTGATTCCCCTCCACCTTCTCTGTGAGCAAGAACCCAGCTGCTATACTACACTTTGCTCTTTTGTCATGATGAATCAGAAATTTGATGCATGGGTCATTTTGCAAAGAAGTGACTGATTTACATACAAAATAACATAGGTAAGGTTTGTTATATTATAACATACTTTAGCAAATTGGTGATAACCAAAATAGATGGAGGTAGATTTTTCTATTTCTAACTCTTACCTTTGACAGCACAATGGTAAATTTAGGTTCAGGTTTATACTGTGCCTTGTAGCACTGAGCAGAAGTGTGACCTTGTGAAGGTGTCTTCTCTGAATTCTTTGCTAGTGTATTCTGATACAATAATGCATCTGTGAAATTTTCTAAGTTACAGGAGGGAAAGTATCTGACAGAAACAAAAGATGAAAATGAATAAAATTTCATCAACAAGGATGAGTTTTACCAAACAAGATACCACATGGCATAAAGCAAAACAGAAAGCTAGAATGATGGCTGAGATTGTAAAATTTCTCACAGAGTACATCACTTAAAAGTGCAATATTAAATAATGATGTAGTATTATTTGCAAAGAAAAAACCTGTTCGCAATCGGTACAGACAGTTTCTATCATTTATATCATCTACTCTGGTCAATTATTTCTATCATCCCTTTGCCATTCTCAAAGATAGCAATTACAGAAGTACAAAAATACCATATTAAGTGCACTGGTTATTTTGGGCAGACTCAGTTATTCAATTCAACAGTTTGCATTAGATCAACATGCAATAAACATCCAAATTACAAGATCCCAGTCATCAGAGACCTGTTAAACTACTTCGCACTGATTGCAGCTGTAAAAGGGATTAGAAAAAGGAAATTAATTAACCTCATCACAAACATGGACATTGTACACAAGATGGTTGGAGCTGCTGAGGGTAAGACAGTAGCTTAGTAAAGGAGATAACAAGGTGTAGAGCTGGATGAACACAGCAGGCCAAGCAGCATCAGAGGAGCAGGAAAGCTGACGTTTCGGGTCGAGACCCTTCTTCAGAAAATGACCTTCTCCAGCATCTGCAGTTCCTACGAGCTTAGTAAAGGACTTCTGTTTTTCAGAATGTACAGTTGCAAATTTATAGACACACTGAATAGCATCAACTTTGACAATTATCTTTTTTGGTGGGGTGGGGCAAGATACAGAGAAAAGAGAAGGGAGAAAGAGAGATAGAGCAGGCCAAGGAGCACTTGTGCACTAAATTCAATTTCTATCCACCCTCTGTCAGCATCAAGGAGTCGGCTGAAGGACTTGGCAGGTTTGATTTTAATCCCTTTGACCATGATATTCCACATGAACCAACATCAATTGATGACATGGCTGTGATGACAAGGACAGTGAATGGGACCTGGAAGAGATCATGGTAATGCTGCCATATGTATATTCAATGTGTTTGATATTACAGAGCAACATCCTGAAATAAGCTAGAGTTGTATATGCTAAGAATGGTGAGCTAAATTTTTCATCCATATGGTCAGAATAACAGCAGTCCTGCCATGAATTACAGAGTCCTGGCAAGAATTACAGAGTTCTTTGCGGGAAACAAACAGGAATGGAGAAAAACTGCAGAAAGCCACAACTCAAACAGGATTGGGGATACTTGTGCATGAAACACAGAATTCTAGCATACAGATGCAGCAGGTGATCAGGAAGGCTTTTGTAATGTTGGCCCTTATTTCAAGGGGTTTGGAGTATAAGAGTAGAGAAGTCTAACTGCGACTGTACAAGGCGTTGGTGCGATGACATCTGGAGTAGTGAGAGCAGATTGGTCCCCTTGTTTAAGGAAAGACATCGTTTCATTGGAGGCAATTCAGAGAAGTTTAATGGGTTGATTCCTGGTATGGATGGATTGTCTTACGAGCAAAGGCTAAACAGGTTAGGACTCTACTCATCTGGCATCCATATGTCAAATTGGCATTCATCTATAATTATCACCACTGTTTTCTTGAATACAACCTCACTGTTTTCATCTACTCTCCTGACTATTACAGTCAGTCTTGCTCATACATTTTTCAGACATATCAATATAGTAATGGAAACCTAGTTAAATGTACGGTGGGTGTATTTGCAACAGATGTTCATCAATAATAAATTATACGATATTTCTAAAGTGTCATACCTAACACAGATTTGTATCCATGCTCCCCGATCCCTCACTTTCAGTTATTGCAAGTTGCTCAGCTTTTTAATGCATTAGTTCAATAATGTATAATATAAAGTTTCTGAGAAAAGAGTGGGAAATCTTCAAATTTCTGACTGAACCAAAAAGCAAATAAAAACAAAAGACAGACTTCTCTCAAGTCACTTTTCACTGACCTCGCCTGGGGAAGTACATGTGCAGATGCAGACATTGTGATGCATGTAAGGGTACTCATGTTATTTGTGGAGTTTATTTGTGAAAGGTAATGTTCAGGTGGCCATGGTGAAATCAACATGATATTAATAACCTCCTTTGCTTTAGAATCTGAAACAGAAAGAAACTGGCAGTAAACAAGCGGTCAAAAACAATGCCAATAGCTTCTAATTAAAAACTGCTTAAAACTTTAGTGAGGGGAAGGGTTGGACACAATAAATAGAACAGTGATTTTAGTTACCACAATGTCATATTTTCTAGCCTTTTTGGGTTTTTATGCAGAACTGGATAGAAGATCCACAATTTACAGGACATAGATTTAAGAGAACAAATGTAAATTAGTCAAATTTATAGATAACACAAAAATTAATTAGGGTAGAGGGTAGACTGTGTACAGAGGAAGCAATTGTAACCTACTACTTGTATTACGGTGTGCCCTCTATAAAGTCATATCCTTTTTTACAATGGAGACTGATCCAAAGTAAGGAGCTATTAGAAGTTATCAAAAGCTTTGACAAAAAGAAAATGCGCATTTATCCTAGTTTTAATCAACAGCCTGAGATTTTCTATCAATTAAAATAATGCAGAAGCACAAAATTATAGTTGCCCTAGGTTGTTGGTTCAGTAGAGACTGCCACTGTACATTTAACACTTACCTTCCAGCCCCAGCAGGTTTCCATTTACCACAGCATGGAGACGAGTTATGTCACTAGAAAATCTTTTTAATGGTTCCTTTGAATTATAGGTGATCGGCAGTAGTAGAGATACACTCTCTGATGTGTCTCGGGTAAAAGCAATAGTGGTTACGGATTGTCTTGTTGTTGTATGAGCTAAAGGATCTGGGTCTGGTCGTCTTCTTACAGAACCCCGTCCAAAAGGTAGAGGTTCTGTGCTAGTCTGCCACAGGCTTTCATTTTCAGGCCGACAGAATTCTAGTTTACTGAGAGATTGCAGAACTGCATTCCATGTCTACATCAAAAAATAACAAATAGATTTACTTAGGACTTCTCATTTAAAAATTAGTGCTTCTCACCAACATCAAATCTTAAGCTGCTTCCTCCCTCAGCCTCTCAACATACTGAGTGAAGTTCTGGTATGATATCTCAGCCTTGATGAATCACTCATAGGGCAATTGTTTATGCCAGTTGAGACAAATGTTGTCCCAAAATTAACTAGGTTTTCACAATCAAAATTGTGTCTACCATATGTAAACAATTCAGGCATGTCACTAGATAGCAATGGGAATGTGATCAAGAACACAAATCCTAGACGATCTCTCTCCCATACCACTTTAGCTGTTTATGGCACTAAGTGATACTGGAATGTTCCAGATTTCTTCACTGAGCTACACTATGTTGATCGTAGCTAGGTGAAGTGCCATAATTGATCTAACCTCCTTCTTCCCTAGAACATTAAGTTTCGGCTCCCAATTCTCATCATTATCCTGTGATTATGCTGCATGCTATGATTTCAGTTGCAGGGGTCTTAGTTGACTAGATTGCTAGCCATCACCACTACAGATCACATATGAAGTATGGGAAGAAAGGCTGGCTTGCAGAGGACTGTCAGCTCCTATGAAGCCACACTCCAGCACAAATCAGTGGTCTCCAGTCATGAAGAAAGTTGCAAGGCAGTAGGGGGAGACAAAAGATTGATAGGTCAAGAAGTCCTTCCTGTCTCCATTTTCTGAAGGCACAATTTTTCTGTGTGTAGCTGTGTTGCACCATCAGTCCGCCTGAAACTCATCAAGACATTATCCTTCATGCTTTGATTAAACAGTAAGCATCACAAAAGATTTTCATGAAGGGCAGCAGAGCCAAGTTCAGTCCTGTCCTCATCCCAACATCTACACGGACATGCTATCCAATAGTCTTATTTAAAAGTATTTAGAAATTGGAACCAGACCTAATTTATCGAAGGGAAATTGAAAAGCTTATGCTGGATTTATATACCTTTCACATCCTCAGGAAGTCTCAAAATGCTTCACAGATGTGAAAAATGCTACATAAATGCAAATTTGATGAAACACAATGAAGCACTTTTACAGTGTAATCCTGTTTTCAAACATTTGTTCATGGATGTGGGCATTATTGGCTAGGCCACCATTTATTGCCCATCCAGCAGTTCAGAGTCAACCACATTAGGGTCTGAAGTCACACGTAGGCCAGATCAGGAAGGCTTTTGTTTCTTTCCCTAAAGAATATCAGTGAATCAGATGGGTATTTACAACAATCGACACGATTGCCATTAGGCAGGTTTTTATTAAATTCAAAATTCATCATCTGACAGGATGGGATTCAAACCCACGTATCCAGAACATGGGTCTCTAGTATACTATTACAGTGGACATTACTGCTCTGTCACTACCTCTTTTGTCAACAAACACAGCAGTTGTTTATCGAAGTAAACACACAGTACTGGAGTGGTCTATTCCTGATGGTGCTAAGATTTTAATGCTGGCAGAGCAAATGTAGTCATTAAGTCATTATGGCAAGGGCAGCCCTGCTCATCATTGCATCTTTCACATCCACTTGACAGAGCACACAAGTCTCTATTTAAACATCATATCTGGAAATTTGAAGGGGCAGAAGAGATTACACGGTTGGGGATGTAATCCAAGACTATGAGATACAACTACGACCACTGATCCTTGGCTTACATAGAGGCCAATTGTAGTTGTGGTCTTGTTATCATAGCTCATACGAACTAATTTAGCACAGGCCAGGGATCGTCTTCAGGGGGGTTAAGAAAATAAAACTTCAGTAACTTTCATTAGTAACATACAGGGCACAGGCTATAACAAACAAGAGTTATGTTAATTGCAACAATGCAGCTCCCAAAATGTCCAATTGCAGGTGCAAGTGCAAAAGGAAAGCTGATGATGTACTTCAACAATTTTACATTCTCATTTACCCCATGAACTCCATGTAGGCCGAGAGGAGAAATTTGGCCATGGGGCTCTGCTTTACTAGTTATAATTTGTTTCATCATTGCAATTACCTGAGGCACATCAGGATTGGAGACTTCATGTGACTGAATGTAGATCCCAAGACTGAAGAAAGCGATGCCTAAAGAGCTGATGCTCAAAATAAATAAAATCATTGGTGGTCGGTGGAGAACAAAATACTTCACATTCTCCAACAGATGCCATGATACCATGGTGACAGCTGGTTACAACTAGATTAAAAACAGTTTAAGCACATTGAACCAGATGAGTCAATGCTGGCAACATCTGTACATATAACAACAGCATTTACATAAAACATGAGTATATCTTTTCTAGTTCATTTGCTAAATGGTGTTCAAGTTCACAGACTGTTCACCAACTGAACAAATGATCTCATATCAAAGACTACAGCATACTGGAGCTGGCAGAATATGAAATTCACTAACTGTTTAATTTTGCTTTTGGAGCAGTGTCTAATTTCAGATTAGGTCACCTCCCATTGGCACTGCAGACAGTAGAATATTTTCTGGACCTTGGGATGACAACCATAGACTGGCTTCCCACTGCTCTCAGCACAATCTGTTCAAATCCAGTAACCTGCATCAATAGTCCACCCATGAAGTAAAATTCAACTCTCTCTCAATATGCCCAATCCAAGCTCCAAACATGCTAACTTCTGTTTTGATGGTTTGTGGTTCTTTTGCCATATCAGGAAGTTTTTCAAACGTATTTGGAAAAATCACATATTACTGCTATCTCGATAAAATGTCCATGCACCTGTACTTAACAGAAAAGGTCTGAAAACTGTCTAATGTAGGTTCTTTGCTTGACTTCACTCCAGAATGTTTGGGAGAAAGCATAACATATTTCAATATTCTGGGATATTTTAATATTTAAGAAGTGGTATGTTAAAGGAATAGAATTTAAGCAGATGTCAATTTTTGAAGAGGTCAAGGCTCTTAACAATACTGAAGATTAGCTGATGTATCTGGCAGACAACATAACAGGCTAATTTCAGTCAGGTATCCTGAACAAATTTGTAAAAAAGCTCCCAAGTCAGGCAACAACACACTTCTCAGCCAGTGCTGCAGTTTTTGATTGGAGAGGGGCAGTGATGATGATGTGATTGTAAACAGAAAAAAATTATTGCTTAGTTTATTAGTTACTTTTCTTTTTTGTGCTTTTCTCAGTCATGGCTACTACCTCAGCTGTAGAATGATGGAAGAAAAATAACCCAACCACAAACAGATCTCATTAGACCAACTTCCCTGTAACTCATATAACCGTTATACCCACTGCACCTGGGTCAGTGCTGTTTGGTCTGAAGCACAGATAGCCTTCCGTTGACAAGAAAACCAGATCTGTGTACTTCACTGTGAAAGTACAAGTGTTTCCACTGGAAAAAAATCAACATTGATTGAATCTGAAAAGTACAAATAGCAACTTACACTTCATTGCTTTGCATGCTACTGCAACAGCAATGATACATCACCCTGATGCTAAATGTGTACAACATCTAATCCAGCCAGCATTTCTGATATTCAGTTCCATTACTATAATTCCTACTGTTAAGCAATTCAAATTTGTACATTTATCTTCTTTTACCTGAATTTTGCCACACATCAAGTCTATAGAAAGATTTAAAAATTTATTTAACCTATATTTTTTTAAAAATGCCCTTACCAGCATGTCTTTACAAACTACTACAAACTGATCTCCTTTCCGTCTTCAAAGTCCTTGAATCTATTACTGCCTGCTATAACCATGCATATATTTCTTATAAGTCGACGTGTGAATCACTTCAATCTCATTTCCGTCCCTTCCACAGTATCAAAACAACTCAAAGTCACAAATGACATCCACTATGTTAACAAAGGTAAACTATCCTTTCCTATCCTTCTCAATCTGTCTGCAGGCTTTGACACAATTGACCACAACATTCTCTTCGGAATGCCTCTCCAAAATCATCCGGTTGGGCAGACCGCATTCACTTGATTCCATTCTTTTCTATCTGATCAGTTGCCAAGCCTTTACCCCTAATGTTTGCTAACAACTCCCCCATTTCACATCTTTATGGTGTCCTTTGGCAACATTACTAAAGGCAGTTCTTTTTTTTTTAAACACGTGCAGTGATGATGGCACCCAACTATTTGTCACCACCTCATGTACAATGATGACTGTTATACTTCAAAAAATAACTATTTAAACAGAACTCAAGTTCACACTTTTATAATCTCAGAGTTTAATTTCTGTTAGCCACACTGTATAAAACTCACCCCACTGATTACTAGCTCCCCATATTAAACACAATTAACTCTATGCCCATCAACCGTTCCCTCATTCCACTGGATTTCAGACATTCTTTTATATTAGATGATAACAGACTCCCTTTTTTAATTTTTAGAGACATCTGCAATAATAAAAAGAACTAAAATGACAATAGATTATATTCCCTTTTTTTGCTTTGCATAGTAAGGTCCTAAGGAACTTTTTCCCAGCATGTCCAGGAACTTAAAACATACCGCTTTCATTATAAAACAGATAGTTGACTTCTGCTAAGTACCCATCTCAATTTATAGATCACTCCATTGTTCACTATCTATTTTAAAACTGCAACATCGATCTTCAGTCTTTTTTCATTCACATATTTTGTTTAGTGTGCGTTATTCCATTGTGACTTCATGACAATGAAGCATTCAATGAGTATTGCTGCTAAATCTCTTTAGAATTTCTTCCAATATTTTTGCTAAGAAACAATATCATAACTTGTGAATTGCCAAGAGCAAGAGTCTCTACCACTAACATTTTTTTTTACTGCTCTTCCAATCTTTTTAGCTTCTTAACCCAAAGGGCAACATTTATCTCCCTTTCCCACAAAAATTATCAATTCGCCTGCACTCGAGAACCCATCAGACATATGGACAAGGAGAATCACAAAATACAAGTTTCATGCTCCTGGCATCTTTCAATGAAAATTTCAAAATACAATAGCTTCATTTTTAATGTTCTCAATGTTATCTCTGCTTAAATAATTTTTCAGTCACATTCATCTCTAATAATTCAAAACTGGCACCTGATATTCTTTGGCTGCCCAGACAATTCAGCTCTCCAATTAATTTCACAATTCCTCCATTTCAAACCAAATGCTAAATTGGAACTGTATCACTGTTTTTTCAATGTTACTGAGTCAAAATCCCTGAACACTCTCCTTAACAGCACTATGGGTACACCTAGAGTCAGACTTCAGCAGTTCACCACTATCTTTCAACAGCAATAAATACTGACCCAGCCAGCAATGCCCACATTCCATGAATGAATTAAACAAACTTCATTCTAGCAGCACCCATAACAAAAATATTTACATTCTTGGGTGAGGACATTAATTATATTATCTGTGCCTCTGGTTCTCTCTTTTTCACACAATTCAAGGTCCTGTATATCAATGGAATAGAGGATAAAAATAGGGACATCTTGCTAAAACCATACAAGGCATGAGTTAGACCACATGTAGAATATTGTGAATTAGTACTGAAGGCAGTCCAGAGAAGATTCACCAGGTTGATTCTGGGTCTGCTGGGATTTTCTTAACAGGAGAAGTTAATTGGTTGGGCTTGAACTCATGGGAATTTTGAAGAAGGGCAACCTTATTGAAACATACAAGATTCTTAGGGGACTTGACAGGATAGGTTTTGAGAGGTTGCTTCCCATTTTGGGAGAGTCTTGAACCACAGGACATAATCTCACAGTAAGGGTTTGTTCATTTAAACAGATTATGAGGAATTTCTTTTCGCAGAGGGTGGTGAATCTGTGGAATTCTTCTGCTGCAGGAGGCCGGGTTGTTAAATATATTCAAGATCTAGATAGACTTTCAAACAGTAAGAGAAGGAAAGGTTATGGGGAAAAGGCAGGAAAGTGAATTTGAGGATTATCAGATTGGCTATGATCTCATTATATGCCACAGCAAACTTGATGGGCTGAACAACCTATTTCAGTTCCTATATTGCATGATTCAAAATTTAAATGTGCAATGTTAGGTTTACGGCCTTAAGTGCTATGTTTTCTATTAGAACTCGTGTTATGGCTTGCATTATAGAATACACTCAGTAAGAGCTTATAAATTTGATAATCTACCTGAGAATCTGAACACAGCTGCTGCAGTCTGTCAAGGTAATTACAATTACACAAAATGATAGTGAAAGACATAGGCCAAAAGCCTTCCTTAATTAATTCACAATTTCAGTGTTGATGCGGAAGGTGCTAATTGAACCCAAATGCATTTTGGTGAAGAGAAGAGAAAATCTAACAGATAGTGGTTTCTAGATTATTGTTGGTGCTTCCCACTCCAATCCAACTCTCCAGTTTATAAGTAATATTAACAAGTAAGCTTTTGAATGCCAGAAACAAGCATAAATAAACATTAACATTGAGCAATATTAGGAATGAACTAACCTGATGATATCAAAGTTTGGTTTCCTGATCAACAATACCTTTGCATGTTTTGCCACCAGTCTTAAATTAGATACCTCTTCAAAGATTGAGAAATCTTCACAAAGGAGATGTCAACAATCAAATATCATTGCACTGGCAAGAAAATAATCATTGAAAAAAAGAAGTCACAATGGTAAACTGCATCATTGAAAATAAAACACTGCTCCAGTTTCAAAGTGCTAAGAACCCAAACTACACAGCTTTCTCCTTGAGGTTTATGATATTGCTGTAATTTTCATTAGATTTCCATCTTTAGTAATTTTTAATTCATCAACCGCTGTTACATAATAAGTGAACTTGCAGTAATGACATTGGAACAGTAGGCCATTCAACCTCTCGAGCCTGTTTCACTATTCAATGAGATCATGGTTGATCTGTGGCCCAACTCTATATACCTGCCTTTGACCTATATTCCTTAGTACCTTTGATTTAAAAAAAATTTTCAGATTTAAAATGAGCAACTGATCCAGCATCAACTGCCGTTTGTGGATTAGAGTCCAAATATTTACTACCCTTTGTGCATAGAAACGCTTAAAATCTTTCCTGAATGGTCTGATCCTAATTCTCAGACACTGAATCTTAGTTCTAGGATCTCTAACCAATGTAAATAGTTTATCTTTATCTACCCTGTCTTTTCCTGTTAATATATTGAAGACTTTGATCAGATCACCACTTAACCTTCTAAATTCTGGAGAAAACAGGTTAGATTTGTATAATAACCAAAAGAACTGCGGATGCTGTAAATCAGGATTTGAATAATCTCTCCTCACAACTTAACCCTGAAGTCCAGGTTGGACATCACTATTGGTAACTCCAGAGATAAAGTTAATGATGTCAGAATAGGATGATGGTACAAAGTAATGAAAGTTAGAGAATATAAAATGACTCTCAAAGCAAATAAAAAACATTGTTGCAATGACTATAAATGTTGTTGTTATCTCAATGATGTTCAAACTGTTTAAACATTTTTTTAAAAAAAATTGACATTTCCTGAAATAAAAGCATTAAAATGTTGGAACTTTTCTTCTAGGTGTGCAGAGGTATTTTTAAGGCATGTCTCATACTTTTTTTAGCATTCAGTTTTCCTTTGTTTTTCAAGCATCTGAATGGAGCAAAATATGATTCTTTTACATGAGGTTTGGGGACATGCTACAATCATCAGTTTACAATGCTCTGGGTTTACACAAAACACAGGCAATTTCAAAATAAACCATGGAAACATTTGATTTAGGGCATCAACTAGGAATCTCCCTAATCCGTTCGGAAATTTTCATCAGCTCCACAGGAACGAGGTCTCAAATCTGCATCAGTAGCAGATGTTAAATTCAACATAAAAACTGTTTTAAGATCATAAGATGTAGTTACAATGAATCTTCCACAATTGTTTTTGGCATTTATAGTTCACTGCTCAAGGTACATTGCTAAAGGAAGGCCTATGAAATAACGTAAACCTAGCTTCTGTTATGAAAGATATATTGATTAAAGTTTCTCGAGCTTCATTTATTTCGGTAGAACTGCTGGGATAAGACACATATACACAGGGAGAATCAGACAGCAGTCATCCTTCGGATAGCCACAAATAAAGGCTTTGGAGCGTATTGTTCCATTTATCCCCCTGCAACCTCTACTGAGCTATGGTGTTTGCAGCTCCACTGCAAATTCCGTTTCCTTTCTAGAAAATTACTAGGGTACAAATCCTATTTCTATTGATTTCAATGAGACACATTACAACATTCATAGCATATTTCCTGCAGAATACTCAGACCCAAGTTCATGAAAATCTCTACGTCGAGTTCTTAATTTTAATTCTGTTTTCATGAGAAGCAAAAGGATGAGGACACACTACCTTTTGTCAGAGATCTTGGGACAAACAAAAAGAAGGACGAGAGCCATTAGATACAGCTCAACATTAAGCCACACTAGCATGATCTCTGTGGGTCACTTATGGCCAGGCCCTGATCTAGATCTTGACTGGGATTCTGAGTTGCTATCCTGCCCTGTGTCTTTAAGACCATTGATCTGTACAAGAACATTCAGCTAACAGTCCTCTCTATTTCAAATACTGTTTTACATCTGTAATAAAATGTGACACTTTGGAATTAGGTATCCATTTTAAAATAGTTGTAAACTAGATGCCAAATATATATTGAATTTGTTTCCATGTAGAGTATGAAATTTACGGTGAGGAGACCATAAGGCATTACCTGACCCAGTGGGCTGTCCAACTTTCAGTCCAACTCTTAAACCTATCCACCAGAACTGGGTTTGCTCAACAGCCTGAATTGATTGAATATCAAAAGTAGACCTCAAGTAGTTTTTCAAAAGAAGTACAAATTGGCCACATATGACTTCACTTCTAAGCTGGAAGTTCTAGCATCAGCTTGAACGTAACCAAAATTCTATGACTCATATTTCAGTGGTGAACAGATTAGACTAAAAGTATTGTACAGGAATAAATCAATCGAGACAAATAGTTTCTTAAAAAAGACATGACCTGTGTGGATATGTAAATAAAAGTACTTTCCTTCTCTGTTTATTTTTGTTTTGATAACGTGAAGATGAAAATCACTTCAGGCTCCTTTATTTTGAAAAAGTTCAAAAACAGACTTCAGTTGCGCATCATAAATATCAAAAGCCACATTAGAAATGTACCACATTGAACTAAGATCTTACAAAAATGTATTTACACAAAAGAAGAAAACACCCACAACGTCAGCTGTGATTACTGGATGACAAGTTATACAAGCTTTCAGAATCTGTAGCCAACTGGAATATGCCAGCTGTTGTTTCTAACATCCCCTTTCTTAGTGCAAGGTACAGTACACAGTACAAATACTCACGGGAATGAAACTGTTTTTGAATACAGCAAATGTATTAAATTATTAATATCATAGAATCAGAACCCAACAGTGCAGTAAGAGGCTATTTGGCACACTGAGCCTGCACTAACCCTCCATCCACCTAGACTCAGCCACCTACCCTACCCGTAATCCCAACTGTACTATGGCTGATCAACCCGAACTGCACGGCCCTGGACACTACAGACAATTTACCCTGGTCAATCTACCTAAGCTGCACATTTTTGGACTGTGGGAGGAAACTGAAGCACCTGGTGGAAACCCACACAGACGCGAGGAGAACATGTAAATTCCATACAGGCAGTTGCCAAAGCTGGAGTCAAACCTGGATTCCCTGGCACTGTGAGGCAGCTGTAATAACCAGAGCCATTGTGCCACCCTCAATATAGTTACATGCATGATTGAAGATTCACTGACTGCAAAAATGGTTCCTACTTATTATCTTTAGTTTCTTGCAAACTATTGAAATAGCAGTAGTGTCTAGATGTTCAAAAATCCAAGATAACTTTCGGTTCATTCAGAGTTAGCTGTTCTCATGGAGTCATAGAGATGTACAGCACAGAAACAGATCCTTCAGTCCAATTCATCCATGCCAACTAGATATCCTAAATTAATCTAGTCTCATTTGCCAGCATTTGGCCCATATCTCTCTAAACCCTTCCTATTCATATACACATCCAGATGCCTTTTAAAAGTTGCAATTGTACCAGCCTCCACCACTTCCTCTGGCAGCTCCCTCTGCGTGAAAAATTTGCCCCTTAGGTCCCTTTCAAATCTTTCCCCTCTCTTAAACCTATGCCCTCTAGTTTTGGACTCACCCCTCACCCCAGGGAAAACATCTTGCCTATTTACCCTATCCATGCCTCTCATGATTTTATAAACTTCTATAAAGGTCACCCCTCAGTCTCTGACACTCCAGGGAAAATGCCCTAGCCTATTCAGCCTCTCCCTATAGCTCAAACCCTCCAACTCTAGCAACATTCTTGTAAATCTTTTCTGAACCTTTTCAAGCTTCCCATCATCCTTCCTACAGCAGGGAAATCAGAACTGCATCAGAGATAGTAGGAACTGCACATGCTGGAGAATCTGAGATAACAAGGTGGAGAGCTGGATGAACACAGCAGGCCAAGCAGCATCAGAGGAGCAGGAAGGCTGACGTTTCGGGCCTAGACCCTTCTTCAGAAATGGGGGAGGGGAAGGGGATTCTGAAATAAATAGGGAGAGGCGGATAGAAGATGGGTAGAGGAGAAGATAGGCGGAGTAGACAGGTCAAAGAGGCGGGGATGGAACCAATAAAGGTGAGTGTAGATGGGGAGTTAGGGAGGGGATAGGTCAGTCCAGGGAGGACGGACAGGTCAAGGGGCGGGATGAGGTTAGTAGGTAGGAGATGGGGGTGGGGCTTGAGGTGGGAGGAAGGACAGGTTAGGGAGGCGGGGACGAGCTGGGCTGGTTTTGGGATGCGGTAGTGGGAGGGGAGATTTTGAAGCTTGTGAAATCCACATTGATACCATTGGGCTGTAGGGTTCCCAAGTGGAATACGAGTTGCTGTTCTCCCCTCCCCTTACCGCATCCCAAAACCAGCCCAGCTC